GAAAAAAAGAAGAAAAGAAAAGAAGAAGGAGAAGGAGAATTAAAAGTATTAGTGATATGCTTGATTTTGGTTTATTTTTTTTTTTTTCGTTCGTTCAGGTGGTCAGGACGGATTCCTTGAAAGGTCGTCGAGGTAGATTGCCATCGAAGCCAAAATCCCCGCAAGAATCACCACCAAGCTCGCCGGTTTCCCTGATCACAGCTTTGGTCCGCGCACACCTGGACACGACACCCGATCAAGCGACCTTGGACTACTCGCAATATCGGCAACCAAGTCCTGGCGATCCACCCATCACAGAGGCGGAAAAGACGCAACAATTCTACAATCTTCTTACCACGTCGATTGACGTGATTCGAACGTTTGCCGATAAAATTCCCGGCTTCACGGACCTGGTACGAGAGGATCAGGTTTGTATCATTGTTCCATCGTCAATTTCTTCATCTTCGTCCCTCTCGGATAATTTTTCGTTTCGTGTATAAATCCATCTACGCGGAGCTGCGTTACATCGTTTATTATGTATGGACGCGCAGACAATATCTGTGAGGGAAGGTTTCATTAAAGAGATCGATAGCTTGTACATTTTCTAAAAGGTCAATCCTGACGAGCCTACGACATGTCTAATCGACGGTCCGATTATATCTACAGTCGCGCAGGAAAATAACATTTCTTTTTTCCACTCTGCTTTCTTTCTCAACAATTTCGAAATTTCTGATCCAACACGTCTAACGCGTTTGTTTTCGTGATTGTTCCTCTCCCCGTAGGAGTTACTTTTCCAGTCAGCCAGTCTGGAACTGTTCGTTCTTCGATTGGCGTACCGTACGAAACCGGAGGACACTAAGCTGACATTTTGCAACGGCGTGGTCCTGGCATTGGAACAGTGTCAGCGTAGCTTCGGCGATTGGCTCCACAGTATTCTCGAATTCAGCAAAGCTCTTCACATTCTCGACGTAGACGCTAGTGCTTTCGCTTGTCTGTGCGCTCTTACCCTCATTACTGGTAAGTTTGGTACCACCAAATCCTTCTCTTTTTTTCGAAAGAGAATATCGGCCTGCCCTCGTTTCCTCTCTTCGATGATTATCCATTAAGCGCGACCGTCTGCCGGATAAATTATTTATCGATCGACCGGTTACTTATTAACGAGACGACGAAAAAGAAACGGCGATCGTTCCGTGTCGATCGTTGCACGCGATACACGTCGACGCGATTCTCCTCGTTGTTGTTGGACGTGCGTGCTTCTCTTCGATCGGTTCGACAATACGATTCGATCGCGACGTATCGCACGCAACATCGCCCCTATTCTGTTCCTTCCTTCCGTTTCAATTGGCCGGCGAATCTGGCCAACCTAAGCACGACCCTCTATAATATACCAACACCAACCGATACGATCACGAATCGGTACTCGGCCTCGGATGAAAGCTGATGATGATCGATTGATAAAACAGTGGGTCTGTTTCTCTGCTTGAAATTACAGCAAGGTACGGCCTGAAGGAGCCTCATCGCATGGAGCAGCTACAGTCGAAAATAATATCGTCGCTCCGCGACCACGTCACCTATAACGCCGAGGCGCAGAGGAAAGCGCACTACCTGTCCCGTTTGTTAGGTAAACTGCCGGAACTGAGGAGTCTGTCGGTGCAGGGGCTCCAGCGTATCTTTTACCTAAAACTGGAGGATCTGGTCCCAGCGCCGCCCATGATCGAGACCATGTTCGTCGGTAGTCTACCGTTTTAAAAACGCCTTTTTAAAAAATCCCAAGCCAAGCCTAAGGCTGCGTGTCGCCGCAGATAGAACGCAGATCCATATTCTCGACATCTTGTGCGGTTGCGTTTACTTACTCGATTAACTAAGTTTCCTTAGTTTTCTTACACGTGCGTAGCTCGTAGATTCTCTACCATCTTCTTGCGTGTAACCCTTTTCTTTTTCTCGCACGAGTGTCGACGCGAGTGAGAGTCACCTTGAGAGGGGTCGCAAACGCGAATCTCGAGAGAGC